GTCTAATATGAATATGGGTGGTGCTTCACTTCGCTGAACCCCCCAGCAGCCCTCGAAAGTGGCGACAGTTTCGCAGATCGCAGCCTCCCAGGGATGGCGAAATCGAATATGAATCTGGGTGGTGCCTCACTCCGCTGAACCCCAACCAGCCCTCGAAAATGGCGACAGTTTTGAAGATCGCAGCCCCCCAGGGGTGGCGAGGTCTACTCTGAGTATGGGTGATGCCTCGCTCCGCTGGACCCCCCAGAAGCCCTCGAAAGTGGCGACAATTTCGCAGATCGCAGACCCCCAGGGACGGCGAGGTCGATTCTGAGTTCGCGTAAGACCCCACTCCGCTGACCCCACAGCAGCCCTCGAAAGTGGCGACAGACCCGCGGAGCGCAGCCCCCCAGGGACGGCGAGGCTTAATTTGAATCCGCGTGGGACGGCAGTCCGCTGGATCCCCCAACAGCCCTCGAAACTGGCGACAATTTCACATATCGCAGCCCCCAGGGATGGCGAAGTCTACTTTGAATCCGCGTGGACCCCCCAGCACCCCTCGAAAGTGGCGACAACTTCGCTGATTGCGGCCACCCAAGGATGGCGAGGTCTAATGTGAGTCCGCGTGAGACCCCACTCCGCTGGAACTCCCAGCAGCTCTCGAAAGTGACGACAGCTGCGCAGATCGCAGCCCCCCAGGGATGGCGAGGTCTAATTTGAATCCGCGTGGGACCTCTCCGCTGGACCCCCCAGCACCTCCCAAATGTGGAGACAGTTTCGCAGATCGCACCCCTCCAGGGACGGCGAGGTCGAATTTGAGCCCGCGTAGGCCGGCAGTCCGCTGGACCCCCCAGCAGCCCTCGAAAGTGGCGACAGTTTCGCAGATCGCAGCCCCCCAGGGATGGCGAGGTCGAATCTGAGTCCGCGTACGACCCCACTCCGTTGGACCTCCCAGCAGCCTTCGAAAGTGACAACAGCTCCGCAGATCGCAACCCCCAGGGATGGCAGCGTTATATTTGAGTCCGCGTGGGGCACCAGCCCGCTGGACCCCCCAGCAGCCCTCGAAAGTCTCGACAGCTCCGCAGAGCGCCGCCCTACAGAGACGGCGAGAACAAATCTGAGTCTGGATAGTGCCTCACTCCGCTGGACCCCCCAGCTGCCTTCGAAAGTGGCGACAACTTCGCTGATTGCGGCCACCCAAGGATGGCGAGGTCTAATTGGCATCCGCGTGGGACCTCACTCCGCTGGAGCCCCCAGCAGCCCTCGAAACCGGCGACAATTTCGCAGATCGTAGCCCCCCAGGGATGGCGAGGTCAAATTTGAATCCGCGTGGAACCCAACTGCGGTTGACCCCCCAGCACCCCTCGAAGGTGGCGCCGAATTCGCAGATCGCAGCCCCCAAAGGGATGGCGAACTATAATCTGAGTCCGCATCAGACGTCACCCCGCTGGACCCCACAGCAGCCCTCGAAAAGGGCGACAGTTTCGCAGATCGCAGTCCCCCAAGAATGGCGAGGTCTAATTTGAATCCGCGTGGGACACCACTCCGCTGGACCCCCCAGCAACCCTCGAAAGTGGCGACAATTTCGCAGATCGCAGCCCCCCCAGGGATGGTCAAGTAGGAGGCATGCCGGCACGCAGGAAAGAGCGAGGCGAGAGGCAAGAGAGAAGGGGAGAGGGGGCGAGAAGAAAGGCGTGCGACCGCAGTGCTCGATTCAAACCGAGAACCTAACCAATGGAGAGTTGGGAAACTATTGTGGCGTACCCAACACAGCTGCATCAAGTGGCAAAACAAATTGGCCCAAATTCGCCAAGACAATGACAGCACAGGCGCCGTTATAGGTTGTGCAAACTACATGGGATGCGGCCACGTGGCACGATTCACAAGACAACAACAGAAGGACGAAGAGCGAACACCCAAGCTTGAGGACAGAGGGGCGGGAACGGAAGACACGGAAAGGACGCGCGGGGGGCCGACCCGTCAGCGCGGCAGCGGCAGAAGGAAGGGCACGGGGCGGCGGACGACGACGAAAGTGACGGGAGGAAACCGAAGATTGTTGTCATTGTCGGCAGTGCGCTAGAGATGCAGCGTTGCCTGCGCCATGTCGCCGCGGCGCTCGACAAAATTATTAAAACTGCTTATATCTAGTGCAAAAACCAAACGAAGCCTAGCCTCTCCCGCCAGCTTCCCTGCTCCCTTCCCGCACTCTTCAGCGCAAGGGCTAAGCGCTTGAAGGCGCGCCGTCAGGTCTGCGGGCGGTCCGCGACGGCGCCCCGGTGGATCCCCTGCAGCCCTCGAAAATGGCGACAGCTTCGGAAGTCTAATCTGCATCTGAGCGGTGCATCCCCCAGCAGCCCTCGAAACTGGCGACAGTTTCGAAGATCGCAGCCTCCCAAGAATGGCGAACTCGAATCTGAATCTGGGTGGTGCCTCACTCCGCTGAACCCCCCAGCAGCCCTCGAGAGCGTCGGCAGTCTCGCAGATCGCAGCCCCCCAGGGATGGCGAGGTCTAATCTGAGTCTGGGTGGTGCCTCACTTCGCTGAACCCCCCAGCAGCCCTTGAAAGTGACGACAATTTTGCAGATCGCAGCCCCCCCCAAGGATGGCGAGGTCAAATATGAATATAATATGAGTCTGGGTGGTGCCTCACTCCGCTGGCTCCCCCAGCAGCCCCCGAAAATGGCGACAGTTTAGAAGATCGCAGCCTCCAAAGGATGG